AGCTCGGTCTCTCATTTGCCCGATATGAGCCTAACCAGGACAGATGGAAACGTTTACGGAGCAGAAACGGATACCTCCACTACAAAGCTTGCTTCCGGTCCAGTTTTTCATTGAAAAAATGGATTAGAGGCATGGAATTGGCCAAAAACCGACAGAGGGACGGGTTGCCTACAAGCACGCGGAACTTGTGTTCAAGAGCATATTTATGAGCCCCCAGTCGCTTACGCATTCCCCACATGTTTATTTTCACGACTGTTTCAGGACTTCTGCACAAACGCGGTATGGACGGCTCGCTGGTGGTGAACATGTTGCTGCTGATATTCTTCATCTTCATGTATCGCGTAATCGGCCTGGTCGCGCTAGTCTCAGAGCGAGACTGACTTAAAAAACTGTTGGAAACAGAAAATACACAAATACAATTCTTAACATAAACGTAGTCATATGCTTTTTGAATAAAGAATAGTTTTCTGTTGTGCGTCCGCGGAAATAGGTAGTTACAGCGATAGGCTCAAACAGCGAATAACACATTGGTATGTAGCATAGCTCAGTAAAAACACATACAGTAGCGGTCAAAAGTCTTCGCCGAAATTGTTTTTCGACTGTAACTTTTTTTCCGCTGAATCAAATCAATTCAAATTTTAATATGTTTTAGAGATATTCCTACTTCACTTAAACGGCATATTTGTTTCGGATTGAGAGAGAATTAAGAATGAAAAAAATCATTTCACTAGAAATTCTCGCGTATGAGCAAATTCCAAGTAGGTTTCAAATTACTCTAGCAAGCTTACAATTCAACAAAACAATCTTACGCATGATGAATAACACTGGGCAGGTCCAATACTTTGTTAATGATCTTCTGGGTTACGCTGAAATACTAACAAGGCCTAAGTAAGGAATCAGTCATTGAATGCACTGTCTACAGGGCAGCTTCCTCCACTTCTCTTGAACTTTGACGAGTTTCTCGCCCATATTTCCGGCTCTTATTTCCACCAAAGGTATCCCTACTCTTTCCCATAATGTTTCGATGGCGCTCGGGACATTGGTGTGAATTGTTCCCTTCGTTGAAAGCGCGCCATGCTGTCGAAACCAATCCTTCACAGTGAAGGTGCGATGCTTTTGGTCGCTCTATAGCTAGAAGGCGAACTCAGTCACGTACAGTTTCATACGAGCGAATACGAAACTCCTTCCAGAATCTATCTGATACGTCGGCATCCTCCACTTCTCTAATCCTGTGCAGTTGTAAAACTTCTTTTACGGACTACCACACGCGAGCCTCCGCCAAGTTTTACATACGGCAGTTAATTCCTTGGATCGAAACGTTTTCCCTCAGGACCGCACACATTCCTATTTCAGTCGCCGGTAAACATCTTGAATACACTCTCGTTGGTCCGCAGGACGTTGTAGCCCTATGGGGATCCCCACTTTAGGTGTGCGTAAGCCCATTTCGCCCCCGACCATTTCACCGCCGACTAACTTCGCAGTATTCGCAATCATGTGAAGGCAGCCTATACAGTTGGGTTCTAGAAGGAGTTCTTATCCACATGTATGACAGTTGGTCAAAACTGAGCTCGCCTTCTAGCATTAGTGCGACCAAAAGCATCGCACCTTTACTGTGAAGGAGTGGCTTCGCCAGCATGGCGCGCTTTCAACGAAGGGAACAATTCACACCAATGTCCCTGAGCGCCATCGGAACATTATGGGAAAGGATAGGGATACCTTTGGTGGAAATAAGAGCCGGAAATATGGGCGAGAAACTCGTCAAAGTTCAAGAGAAGTGGAGGAAGCTGCCCTAGTAGACAGTGCATTCAATGACTGATTCCTTACTTAGGCCTTGTTAGTATTTCAGCGTACCCAGAAGATCATTAACAAAGTATTGGACCTGCCCAGTGTTATTCATCATGCGTAAGATTGTTTTGTTGAATTGTAAGCTTGCTAGAGTAATTTGAAACCTACTTGGAATTTGCTCATACGCGAGAATTTCTAGTGAAATGATTTTTTCCATTCTTAATTCTTTCTCAATCCGAAACAAATATGCCGTTTAAGTGAAGTAGGACTATCTCTAAAACATATTAAAATTTGAATTGATTTGATTCAGCGGAAAAAAAGTTACAGTCGAAAAACAATTTCGGCGAAGACTTTTGACCGCTACTGTATTAGTTTGGCAACTCCATGAAGGTCGATTTGCTCTGAATGCTCCCTGTCATCTGCCTGGGCTGCCAACAGTCCTTTAAAGGACGAATTCACGATGAAAAAGCAACCCATTTCAAATTAACCTAGGGATGGTGAGTGGTACACGAAAGAAGGAAGAACCATGAGAAACGGCCCAGAACCCGAGAAATGGTACCCCTTCCTTGCCCGTTGATTCGAGCATTGATGCGACTCTCATCGCTGTGCCCTCTTCAACACTACGCTCTCTCAGCTATCTAATCACTCGCCACGTATTGAACTACGGCGAGTGATCAGATGATCGGTGGGCGGAGATCGCCGGACCCGCCAGCTTTGAGGCATGATAGGTCGCCGAGGTCAAATTTTTCCATGCGAATTGCGCGTCAGTTCGCACCCTCAGGAGGTCCGTGGGTCCCTCAACTAGGTCAGTTTCCCTTTCTTCGACCTTCATTCTAATCGTGAATTCCTCCTTTAAGTCTTGACAGCAGTCGTCGACGCCAGGAATGAAGCTGAGCTTGAATAAAAAGGAAGGCAAACCAATTCTTTGCTTTGCTCCGCCCCTTCAAATGTTTTTGAAACTTGCACTTCTCATGCATTAAATTCCCTTTTGTTTTTGCGTTAAGGAAATGTCCTCTCTTGGGGTACGCCGTGCACCTGTCTGTGTGTTAGCAGTCGCACTAGCATTTGAAAGTCCTCCACTCCCCTGGAGACGGTGATAGTATCGCGATTGTAGTTGCGTTGTACTGTTATGGAATCCTGTTTTCTCCATGCATTTCACCGCGGGTCCCTGTGTATACGACCCCCTCCCCTTTCGTTCGGCCAAATACGACCCCTCGTTGTTCTTTGCGCAACGGGCGGTTGACCGTGGTTGCTGCCCATAGCATGTATGTACCACAAATTTCATGGCTAACCGATTCTATAGCTAAGACTTTATTAGCGCACTACAGAAGCTTACTAGTGTCTGATGGTCCTGCTCTGGGAATGACATATGTGTCAAATCTTGAAAATCGGTGCTCACCTTTTCCAGTTTCACTCGGACAATAGACTGTGTTATTGCCATGGCTGAGCAGTCCAGTGCACCCTTTTATGTAGGTGATCTGAAATAGTCCTTAGCGTACTATAATAGGAGGTTTCAGCTGTTCATTTTTGATACAGATTTTCTCAAGTTAGCGCAGATATCAAGATGGGAGAACACTGATTTCAATGCCCCACTCTCCAGGCTCCTCTCCAGGCTCTTATGTTTAGGCACAACCGGGTGTCCCCCAAAAGGCCCGTCGCGGAAGGAAGAGACGCAGATGCGGCAAAGGACGAGTCGCAGCGCGTGCTGTGCGATATGAGACGTAGTATGGTACACTCTTTAACCTGACGCCTAACCGCTACAGTATGCGCTGCGACTCGTCCTTTGCCGCGTCTGCGTCTCTTCCTTCGCCGCGCGACGGGCCTCTTTGGGACACCCGGCACAACCGAGAATGTCACTCTTCTGCTAAGCACTTCAGGGAATTGATCCGAAGCAGTGGGATTTCGTAAGAAAACGAGCCGCTGTAGCTCAGGTATTGTTTCTGGAATGGAAGCCCTCTCCGGCTGATCGTGAACTTTACTTTTTTTAGAACGTAGTGTGTGGCTGGTCCCCCAGAGTTTCGAGCGCTTCCTTGATTTCGCTCCTATGCTCGCCGAAGTCAACTGCGAGAACATGGTAAGTGCTAAGTTATATTGTTCACAATCAATTCTTGAAACAAGGTTGAAGATTTGTTCGGAGATAAAACCCACATCCGTCCATTGGTTGATTTGTAAGGCTTCGAAACTGTACTTGAAAAATGAGAGCGCTGAGAATGGCCGCATCCACATTGGCACACTATGCAAGTTAATGTAGAAACCACCGAAAACCAATAGCGCTTGCATAAATGCCGACATGACTGTGATGGCCAGTCCTTCATCTCCAAACACACAACCGGAGGCGTACCCTGAATACTCAATCGATGTACATTTTTCAGAACTAGAAAAATGAACAGCTCCAGTAGCTTGAAGGGTAATTATGACAGTAAAATGAGCGGACGACAGCAATCTCGGTGGGGTACTGTACTAGTGCAGTACGGTATTCGAATAGTGTGGAGATGGAGCCAAGTCCAGGTTCAGCTATGCCTTTGGCTAGCCCTTGCTGTATAGCACTGAAAAGGTTCTCACAAAAGTGATAATTATTCTGGCATCATTGTAAAAAATGACGCTGACAGCAGCGTTCGTCCGGCCCCATTCGTTTACGTGTTCAACAGTTTTGAACCTCAGATGACAGTTTGGAGCACGAATGAGACCATTCAGAGATGAAAATGCATTACAGTGTTCACTGTTGAACACTGAGATCACTTTGGGTTTGGGTCCGATGTATATCCTAGGTGATCACCGGCCCTTTACGCAGCGTACGAAAGTTGAGGTAGCACCCTAACGGGTCCAAACATAGATCTACCGAAAGAGTTGGGGCACACTGAGAAAACAGTTGCGGTGGCGATGTGGAAAGGAGGCGGGAAAATAGAACTTGAGGAAGGTGGCAAAGTGAATCCAAAGGAGCCCTAAACGGTCTGATATAGTTGTATAAAGATGTAGGTGCATTTTCAGTGAAGGAAGCCGCATGAATATGCACGCACGCTGAAGGTAGAGTCAAATTTCTCTCTGGGCGGAAACACCGTCGTACCAGCAACATGCAACATTTGGCCCTGTTATTGGAAGTTTC